TGTGTGTGTGTGTGTGTGTGTGTGTGTGTGTGTGTGTGTGTGTGTGTTAAGAACTATATGTGTGTGTATAATTTTAAAGAAATTGATTCCTCTCATTATAGAGGTATGATAAGTCCAAAACCTGATGGACTAGATCAGCAGAATACACAGAGCTTCAGTTCAAGTCTCCAACCACTGATGGCAGAATTCTTGCAACACACATGGTCAAGCAGGTCTGTAATCTAGCCTGGGCTGTATAAAGAGATCCTGTCAAAAAAAACAAAACAAAAGAAAAAAAAAAAGCAATTCTTTCTTTCACGATGAAAACTAGTCTCAGTGTCCTAATTTGCTTCTCTGTTGCTGTGATAAAGAGCATGACCAAAAAAGCAACGTGGGGAGAAAAGAGGTTGTTTGTTTGTAGTTCACAGTCAAGGAAAACCAAGGCATGAATCTGGAGGCAGGAAATGAAGCAGAGGCCACTGAAACAGTGCTTATTTCCCCTCCCTTGCTTTTGCTTGCAACCGAGGCCTCACTTGCCCAGTGATGGCCCATCCAAAATCAATCATTAAGAAATACCCCCACTACCTGCTCACAGACCAATCTGATGGAGAAAATTTCTCAATCAGAATTTCATCTTCCCAAGTATATCTAGGGTGCTTAGTTTTATTAGGGTCTTTAATAATTGATTGATGCCTCTTCACTTTATGAAAGTGGTTTATTCCAACGGTGATTTAAAATATTTGTCCTATTTAAAAATAAATTTAGTACTTTATTTTTTTTTCACAATTTGTTCATTATATATCTTGATTGAAGTCCCCTTGTTCAGCTCCTCCCAGTCCCACCTTTCTTTCCTCTTTCCCCCTATCCCTTTCTCATAGTCCTCTGAAACAGGAAGTTCTTCTCCTCTGCCCATCTGCCCATAGCTTGGCAAGTCTCACCAGGACTGCCCGGATCCTCTTCCACTGTGGCCTTGCCCGGCCATGTCACCAGGAGAAAGTGATTAAAGAGCAGGCAATCAACTACATGACAGAGGCAGTTCCTGCTCCCCTTACTCAGGAGCCCACATGGAGACTGAGCTGCCAATCGACTACCTCTGAGCAGGGGGTCTAGGTCCTCTCCATGCATGGTCTTTGGTTGATTCATCAATCCCTGGGCTCAGGGTTTTTAGCTTTGTTGGTCTCCTTGTGGGGCTCCTGTCCCCTCCAATTCCTTCTGTTCCCACATTCTTCCATAAGACTCCCTGTACTCTGCCCAAAATTTGGCTGTGGGTCTCAGCATCTGCTTGAATCCCCTGTTGGTTGAAGCCTTTCAGAGGACCCTCTATAGTAGGCTCCCATCCTGTTTCCTCTCTGCCATCATTTTTGGTGTCTATCCTGTTTGACATTCTGAATGAGATCCTCCCAAGGGTCCTCCTTAGTGTTTAGCTTCTGTAGGTATGTAGATTTTAGTATGTTTATCCTATATTAAATGGCTAATATCAACTTATAAGTGAGTGTATACCATGTGTGTCTTTCTGTTTCTGGGTTACCTCACTCAGGATGATCTTTTCTATGTCCATCCATTTGCCTGCAAATTATATGAATTCCTTGTTTTTAATAGCTGAGTAGTATTGCATTGTGTAAATGTACCACAATTTCTGTATCCATTGCTCCGTGGAGGGACATGTAGGTTGTTTCTAGATTCTGGTATTTCTTTAAGTATTTCTTAGCCTTTTGGTGTTCCTCTATTCAGAATTCTCTGCTTAGCACTGTACCTCATTTTTAAAATGGATTATTTGGTTTGTTGATGTTTAATTTCTTAAGTTCTTTATATATTTTGGATGTTAGCCCTCTGCCAGATGTAGGTTTGGTGAAGATCTTTTCTCATTCCGTAGGCTATCATTTGTTCTATTGACAATGTTCTTTGCACTACAGAAGCTTTTCAGTTTCATGAGGTCCCATTTATTAATTGTTGTTCTTCAAGCCTGTGCTGTTGTCTCCTGTGCCAATGAGTTTGAGGCTGTTTCCCCCTTTTACTTCGAACAGATTTAGTGATCTGGTTTTATATTGAGGTCTTTGATCCACTTGGAGTTTAGTTTTTTTCTACAGGGTGATAAATATGGATCTATTAGTATTTTTCTACATGTAGACATCCAGTTAGACCAGCACCATTTGTTGAAGATGCTATCCTTTTTCACTGTATGGCTTTGGCTTCTTTGTCAAAATTCATAAGAATGCATAAGAATGTGGGTTTATTTCTGGGTCTTCTATTCAATTCCATTGATCTACCAGTCTGTTTCTATGCCAGTACCATGCAATTTTTATTACTGTTGCTCTATAATACAGCTTGAGATCAGGGATGGAGATACCTCTAGAAGATCTTTTATTATAGAGGATTGTTTTAGCTATTCTGGGTTTCTGTTTTTCCATATAAAATTGAAAATTGTTCTTTTAAGGTGTGTAATGAATTGTGTTGATATTTTGATGGGAATTACATTGAATCTGTAGATTGCTTTTGATAGAATGGCCATTTTTACTATGTTAAACCTACCGATCCATGAGCATCAGACATCTTTCCATCTTGATTTCTTCTTCAGTTTCTTTCTTCAGAGACTTTAAGTTTTAGTCATACAGGTCTTTCACTTTCTTGGTTAAGGTCACACCAAGGTAGTTATGTTATTTGTGGCTATTGTGAAGGCTGTTGTTTTCCTAATTTATTTCTCAATCAGTTTGTCTTTCATATACAGTAGGGCTTCTGGTCTTTTTGAGTTAATTTTGTATCCAGTCACTTTTCTAAAGGTGTTTATCAGCTGAAGGAGTTGTCTGGTAGACTTTTGGGGGTCACTCATATATACTGTATCATCTGCAAATAGTGATTCATTGACTTCTTCCTTTCCAATTTGTATCCTCTTGATCTCCTTTAGTTTTCTCATTGCTCAAGCTAGGACTTCAAGTACTATGTTAAAGAGATAAGGAGAGAGTGGCCAGCCTTGCCTTGTCCCTGATTTCAGTTGGATTGATTTAAGTTTCTCTCCATTTTGTTTGACTTGGCTTGCTGTATATTGTCTTTACTATGTTTAGGTGTGTGCCTTTCATCCCTGATCTCTCCAAGAATGGGTGTTGGATTTTATCAAATGCCTTTTCAGCATCTAAGGAGATTATTATGTGTTTTTTTTTCCTTTCAGTTTGTTTATATGGTGGATTACATTGATGGATTTTTGTATATTGAACCACCCCTGCATGTCTGGGATGAAGCCTACTTGGTCATGGTGGATGATTTCTTTGATGTGTCCTTGGATTTGGTTTGCAAGTATTTTGCTGAGTATTTTTGCATCAATGTTCAAAGAGGAAATTGGTCCAGAAATTCTCTTTCTTTGTTGTGTCCTTGTGAGGTTTAGGTATCAAGATGACTGTGAGTTCATAGAATTAGTTTGCTATTTTTTTTTTCTATTTCTGTTTTGTGGACTAGCTTGCAGAGAATTGGTGTTAACTCTTCTTTGAAGGTCTGGTAGAATTCTGTGCTAAAACTATAAGGCTCTGGGCTTTTTTTGGATGGGAAACATTTGATGACTGCTTCTGTTTATTTAAGGAATATAGTACTATTTAATCTATTTACCTGATCTTGATTCAGCTTTGGTACCTGGAATTGATCTAAACAATTGTCCATTTCATTTAGATTTCAAATTTTGTGGTACAGAGTCTTTTGAAATAAGACCTAATGATTGTTTGGATTTCCTCAGTGTCTGTTGTTATGTCCCCCTTTTCATTTCTGATTTTTTTTAATTGGATAGTGTCCCTATGCCTTTCAGTTAGGTTGGTTAATGGTTTGTCGCTCTTGTTGATTTTCTCAAATAACCAACTCTTGCTTTCGTTGATTCTTTGAATTGTTCTCTTTGTTTCTAACTTACTTATTTCAGTCCTGAGTTTGATTATTTACAAATATCTATTCCTTTTGGGTATGTCTGCTTCTTTTTTCCCACCTGGGGCTTTCAGGTGAACTGTTAAGTTGCTTGTATGAATGAGATGCCTCAAATTTCTTTATGAAGGCACTTAGTATTATCAACTTCCTCTTAGCATTGCTTTCATTGTGTCCCTTAAGTTTGGGTTATGTTGTGCCTTCATTTTCATTGAATTTTAGGAAGCCTTTAATTTCTTTCTTTATTTCTTCCCTGACAGAGCTGTTACTGAGTAGAGAGTTGTTCAGTTTCCATTTGTGTGTGTAGGCTTTTTGCTACTTCTGTCATTGAGGTCTAGCTTTAGTCCATAGCTATCTGAAAGGATACAGGGATTATTTGGGTCTTCTTGTATCTGTTGAGGCTTGCTTTGTGACCAACTATATGGTCTGTTTTGGAGAGGGTTCCATGAGGTCCCGAGAAGAAGGTGAATTCTTTTGTGTTTGGGTGACAAGTTCGGTAGATGTCTGTTAGGTGTGTTTGATTCATGACATCTGTTAGAGTCATTGTTTCTTTGTTTAGTTTCTGTTTCATTTTATATGAATGGGGTGGGGTGTTGAAGTTTCTCATTATTAATATGTGGGGATCTATGTGTGGTTTAAGTTCTATTAATGTTTCTTTTACAAATATTGGTGTCCTTGTAT